TCTTAAGAATAGCGTTTTTTGGTTATTGGAATTTTATTCCGTCTACATCAATCCTATATATATATATATATATATATATATATATATATATATATATATATATAATTCTCGGTTTCTTTCTTTTTATATATATATAAAACTTGAACTGGCAAAAGGCTCGAATAATGGGACACCCTGGATGTGCGTGTGCGTGTGTGTGTTCTGATTCCATGATAAAGGAATGCCGTGAGAAAAGAGAAATAACTGAACCATTGTACAAAATGGTTCCTAAATATTACTTTATTTTTTCCTACTATTAAATGATGACCGATCAAAGTATTAACTGCTTTCTAAAGCCAATAGAAGATTCCAATAAATGCGATCAATTTCTGTTCTTGAATTGCTATAATGTTCTACATCGTTTGATCATTTTTTCGTTCTCATTACACAATCCTTTCATCTTCTCTCTTTGAAACCTTTTCGCCATTTACGTTCTATTTCAACGGCCCCATCAATTCTTTTCTCGGTCCTCCTCTAAAAGCTTTGCTCTCTCAGACTAACCTGCCTACTCGTCTTACTCTTCACTTCTTCGGAAGCTCTGAAGTCAGTTGTGGCTGCCGCTGTTATAGCAGTAGATTTTCTTGTTGGATGAAAGTCAAAAATAAAAATAAAAATAAATAAAAAAAGAATAATGAAAAGCAATCAAAGGCTGAAAATAGGACATTTTAAAGAAAGAAAAAACAGGTATGAAATCCACTAGTTTTTTTTTTTATTCCTTCTGTAGACTTGACTTTAATTTCCCAATAAAGAACTTGCGTTTCAAGGTAAAGTACAACGTAAGTGATTAATTGATTTCTCCTACTCAAATCGATAATCCCACAACAGCTAATTAACTGGCCTAGAGTTAAACCTTTCGACAGATTACGACAGTGCCGGACTTCCCGCCCTTTCACTCTTCACGATTTTTCTATTTTTATTTCCCGCACTTTTACTGTTCATTATTTTGTTACCCATTTTCTCTTCGATTGGGTCAACCAGTTTTCAGCCTACATTTATATTAACCTGAATCTTAAACAATTTCCGTTTTATTTCATCAGTTTTATTCTTTGAAAAAAAAAAATCAAATTACATTTTATTCAGTTATATATTCATTGTTTGCCGTGACTTGTCGCCACTTATCAGGAAGTGCTTTGATAACTTTTTAAATAAAGGTTTTGATATGAAACAGATCTTGACGAACTCTTCAATCTGGTTTACATTAAAGAAAGTTTTCTCCGGCAATCAAAAAATTAACAAACGTTTGGTGCATCATGAAGTGAATATGGCGGGTTAGGATAGAACAGACTAAACAAGTCCCAAAGGTTTTCATTTATTGTTTTTCGCTCTTTTGCTGGATGCGGCTTTGCGTTGTCATTCAAAATAATGTTTCTCTTCCATTGAGTTAACCAGTTTTTAGTTTACAAGGCAGAAAAGCCATTAAGATATAGGGGGTTACTGTGTGTGGAAGAATTAGGAACAGAAACGTTAATAATGAGCAGGAAGAGGAAAGAATAATCAAGAGGACTATAGATAGCGATTGATATTTTAAATGTTTGAAGATTAAAGTTTGTTGGAAAGCACGGAGTTGGAAGAGAGTTCCAAAAGCGAGAGGTGTGAGTAAAGAAACTGGTAGCATAGAACTTAGGGTTACATCTCGCCAGCTGAAGCGTAAATTGACGAAGTCTCGATGCCAGTTTAGTACTGCGTTTAAATTCAAAAAGTATAGGTACCACATTGAAGAGCTCATCCGAATAATTACAATGAAAGTATTTATAGAAAAGACACAGAGATGCAACCTTACGGCGATGGGAAAGTGACAGGACCAATAATATTGGTGATTTTTCTTTGGATTTTATCAAGGAACTCAAGGTGGATAACGGGTTCACCGGACCATATGTGATGACAGTAATCTAAGTATGGATGAATCGTAGACTTATAGATAGTGATTTTCCAAGCGTTGCTTCGATGTGGTACAAGGCCGAAAGTAATGGCGCCCAGTGAGGATCGAACTCACTTCTCAGTCGTAATTGTTCTAGCGAGACAAGCTTGTTAACCATTACACCGCTTTGATGTGCCTCCGTAGACTTATAGATATGTAAGATAGATTCTGGAGAGACAAGATGTCTCGTACGGCACAGGGAACTAACTTTCTTAGCAGCTGACATATCAATGGGCTCAATGTGGTCTTTTCTCTTCATGTTAGCTGAGAACGTTAGCACAAGAAGGCGCAAAGTGCTACTTTGCTGGAGGTTAGCCTCAGCCATGCTGACTGAAGGCACAGAGAGTTTTCTCAGATGATTAATGGAGAGAAGTTTAGTTTTAACATTTATATTAGGTTGAATCATAAATAATTTCCGTTTTAGTTCATCAGTTTTATTCTTCGTAAAAATAGACTACAATTAACATTTTATTCAGTTATATATTCACCATTATTTGCAGCGACTTGTCGCCACTTATTAACCTTTGAGTAAAATTCCGCTGATTTTGACGTGAACAAAACTCTGTGAACTCTTGAATTTAGTTTGCATCTAAGAAAGGGAACTTTTCAGTGAGCCCACGTCACTACTGAATGTGACACAAGTTCAGTTTAAAGTAGGCTTAACGGCAATACCGTGAAAAAAATGCCGAAACCCTCTCGGCACTTCACATTTAGGGACACCTCAGATGCCCGACAATAAACTCGGCCCCTTTCCAAAGGAGAGTTATTGCCTTGCTGGGGTGGGGAGGCCTTTGAGGCATGAGCTTAATATTTTTTTGAAACTCTCTTGCATAAAGAAATATTTCCCCCCTCAGATCGTTTTGCAGTGAGTCGGAAAGATAATAATCGCTTTGTGTAAGGTCAGGTGACTATGGCTGGTGAGATAGAATAAACCAACCAGGTTCCCAAAACATGTCCCTGTGTTGTTCCTGTTGCATGCGTCCCTCCGTTGGCATGAAGAAGAACGTAAGCTTGGATGTGTGGGTGGTGTAATGAATAACAGCGCGAAATTGGAAATCGAAGAGCCATTATCCATACCCACATACACACACACACACACACACACCTATATATATATATATAAATATATATATATATATATATATATATATATATATATATGTGTGTGTGTGTGTGTGTATGTGTGTGTGTGTGTGTGTGTGTGTGTGCGCGTATGTGTGTGTGTAAGAACATGAATCGGAGAGCCGAGTTCTAATTCCAGTCGTGTTCGTTATACTAAATTACGCGCAAATACCATTGGGAAAGGTATGAATCTACCTCCTGCACCCCCACATAAGGGTTAAATAGTATGACTTGTATCAGTAAATCATCGTTATCTCCAAAAGATCATTATAATCGAAAAATATTTTGGGGCTTTAAATAACCTGCAAAAGGTTGATAAGTCGTCAAAAAAAAACAATCAATCAATCGATATTGAATGATACATTCGTCATTACAATCGGATGCCCAAAAGGGAAAATACTTTTTTTTTACAGGATCAATTACAACTGAGTAGTGAGTTCGATCCTTACTGGGGTATCCAAACGTTTGGCCTTGTGCCACATCTACGCTACGTTTAGAGAATCATTTCGGGCATTTGAGCACAAAGTAATAGCTAGCGAGCATTTCTCGCGAGAACTTGTGGCCTTGTGCCAAACTAAGGCTCAATAGAAAAGGATATGTCGGCTTGTGGTAATGGCGAGCGAGGTGGTTTTGTTTGTTGACCAATACTACTGAGCGGTGCGTTCGATTCTCACTGGAGCGCAATAATTTTAGCGTTGTGCGAAAACTAAACTATGCATATTAAATTACAGCTGGAGCTTTATCTTTTATTTCATCAATACACAGGTCGGATTTATGCATTTGTATCCCGAGACACGTGTCATTCACATGTTTACACACACACACACACGCACGCACGCACACATACAAATACGCACACATTATATAAAAAATAATTTTACAAATTTTGTGGGCGGGTTCCTCACATCAAAACTAGAACAAAAGCCAACATAAACCTATCTCCGCAAATTCATCGTTTTTGAGTTATTAAGTTTAAAGAAAGTTTATGGTAGACAGCGCTGGGTTGTAATGTAGACTAGGTTAAATTTGTCATTCGGGTACATTTGTGTCTCTTCAACGTTTAGCGCGTGTAGTAGTGAGTTAGCTGAGTAGTGTTCCGTTTAACAATGGCAGAGTATTCATATCGTAAGCAGGCAGATATGATTTTTACATAGGGCAGCGGGAATGGTAATGGACGCAAGGTTGCACGGCTGTATCAGATTGCGTTTACATACCGAAGACAGTCGAAAGCTTAGACTGGATTAAAAAAATATGGATCAATATTGTGATTTTCTTTCTTCGTTTAATGATAATGTTATTAAGCTTATCAGACGACATGAAAAGAATTTACATAAAATAAATAGACAACACTTGTCTATATTATTTAATGAAATATGTATCAATATATATATATATATATATATATATATATATATATATATATATATATATATATATATATCACATTAAATGTAATATTAAGTGGGTATACTTGCTTTAGTAGACATTGTGTTATTTTTAAACATTATGTATTAGGTCTACTGACTTGTGTATTCAAGTCTTAATAAACGAAGCTTGCCTCTTTGCACGGTTCCATTATGCGTCCCCTTCCTAAGGAGAACCCCTGCCTGATCCGGTGTACTTCAAACTGCTCAGACACAGAGAGCTTTACAACCTAGCAACATTTTACGAGTCACATATATACTGGATATATTGGACCCTGCTTCTCGTGCTAATGGATACTTCTAAAAATTAGACCACTTTGCGTTTGTATTCATTTCTTTTCAAACTCCAGACATTTTTCATCTGAATGTTTTTCCTTTATTTCTACTTTTTTTTTTTTTTTTTTTTTTAAATGTTTTTACTTATTTCTGTCTCTGCCGTTGAAGAAAGCGAATTCTCAACTGATATAAACGCGGGCTTTTTTTCCTTCTCATTTTCTATGTTCTCTCTTCCTTCGGTGAGACAGAGACTGTCAATGTCCACCACTCGCTGTCTGTTTGTCCAAACAGTATCTCTCAATGCGTTGCAAGGACATTTTGTGCAAGAATGGGCCAAGAAACAACTGTTTAAATCTGTTGAATCCCGTTGTAGTTTTATACCATTTAAGATAATATTTATTTTAAAATTATGACATAAGTGTGTTATAACATCACTACAAAAATAGACATTTTGTTTCAACACTTCTGGTGTCTTAGTGTTGCAATTAAAATAAAGAGTTTTTAAAGAGTTCAAAACCAACCACTATCCCAACTGGAAAAAATATTTTTACGTAAGATATAATGGCCAATCAAATTACAAGTATATGATAATTCAAATAATGCGACGACGGACCTCAGATACAATTTAACGCTTTAAAATAAGCATTGGATTTTATAGGAAATCAGGCATATGTGAAAATTGGAAAACACACAGTTAAATGCCTTATCTATCACCGAATTGATTTTAGTTTCTGTATTACTGACAATATCGTTGGGAAAAGCATGTCTTCTGTTCGTTCTAATTTTAATTTTTGAGGAAATGTATTCCATAGCTTTCTTTTTTTGGTGTTCTGTTTTTCCGTATTTCATCCATTCTTCTGTACGACAATTTTTTCATTCTTACTTACCACTATTTCCATTTTGTCTTTTGTACATCTGATTCCATTTTGTCTTTTGTACATCTGTTTCCTTTATGTCGTCCGTACCTCTGTTTCATTTGTGTCTTCCGTACTTTTGTTTCGTTTGTGTCTTCCGTACCTCTGTTTCCTTTCTGTTGCCGTACACATGTCCCCCTTCTGTCTTACGTACCTCCGTTTCCATTCTGTTTTACGTACCATTGTTTCGTTTGTGACTTCCGTACCTCTGTTTCATTTGTGTCTTTCGTACCTCTGTTTCGTTTGTGTCTTCCGTACCTCTCTTTCGTTTATGTCTTCCGTACCTCTGTTTCATTTATGTCTTCCGTACCTCTGTTTCATTTGTGTCTTCCGTACATCTGTCCCCCTTCTGTCTTCCATACCTCTGTTTCCTTTATGTTTCCGTAAATCTGTCCTCCTTCTGTCTTACGTACCTCTGTTTCCATTCTGTCTTACGTACCACTGTCTCATTTGTGTCTTCCGTACCTCTGTTTCATTTGTGTCTTCCGGACCTCTGTTTCGTTTGTGTCTTCCGTACCTCTGTTTCCTTTCTGTTTCCGTACATCTGTCCCCCTTTTGTCTTACGTACCACTGTTTCATTTCTTCGTTTTATATGCCTACTTTCTATAGTTCTTTGTAGTTTTAATTTGTGAGGAAATGTATTTTAGAGTTTTATTTTCTTATTTTCTATTTTATTTCTGACTCCTATTTTCTTTCTTTCTTTCTTCCGTACACCTATTTCAGGTATTTCTTCCGTTCTTCCTGACGTCTAATCACTTCATTTCTTCCGGAAGTTATTTTGTACATTCGCCCAGAGTCTTATTTGCGTCCTTGCTACAGTAAACGAATTTTCTTTTCTTCTTCCGTACATCAATTACATTCTTTTATTTTCACGGCCTATTTTTTCCCCCATATTTCCGGAGGGTTATTTTATTCTTTTCTTCCAAACGCTTATTTTTTCCTTTCTTCCTTTCGCCTATTTGGTTCGTTTCTTTCATGCCCTACTTACTTCAATCCATCCATACACCTAATTTATCTCTTTTCTCCGTAGTTCTATTTAATTCCGTAACTCTTTGTTCTTCTTTTCTTCCGCGCACATATTTTATTCTTTCTTCCTTTCTTCCGTGCTCCTATTTCCATCCTTTATACGATGCCATTCTTATATTCTTTTCTCCCGCTCTACTCATTTCTTCCTTTCTTTCGTGAACTTAATTTCTTCCGTAGTCCTATTTTTTTTCCGTTCTTCCATACTTCATTTTTTTCAATCTTCTGGACGCCTACTGCGTTTCTTTCTTCCGTACACCCTATTTGTTTCTATCGTAGTCCTATTTTTTCCGTTTTTCCGCACTTCAATTATTTTCAATGTTCTGGATGCCTACTGCGTTTCATTCTTCCGTACTCCTAAATTTTTCTCCGATAGTCCTAATTTGTCCGTTCTTCCGTACTTCAATTTTCTTCTCAATATTCTGGACACTACTGCATTTCTTTCTTTCCTACCCTAATTTCTTTCTTACGTACTCCAATTTTACCGTTCTTCAATCTTCCGGACGCCTACTGCTTTTCTTTCTTCCGTACACCCTATTTGTTTCTATCGTAGTCCTATCTTTTCCGTTCTTCCGTACTTCAGTTTTCTTTCAATCTTCCAGACGCGTTCCTTCCATCCGTACTATTTCTTTCTTCCGTAGTCCTATTTTTTCCGTTCTTCAATTTTTTTTTCAATGATCTGAAGAAAACTGCATTTCTTTCTTTCCGGCGCTAATTTCTTCCTTACGTAGTTCTTTTTTTCCGTTCTTCCGTACTTCAATTTTCTTTCAATCTTCCGGACGCCTATTGCGTTTCTTTCTTCCGTATTACTTATTTCTTTCTTCAGTTCTCCTAAGTTTTCCTTTCTTCCGTACTTCAATCTTCTGTACGCCTACAGCGTTTCTTCCTTCCGTACACATAATTTATTTTTTCCGTAGTCCTAATTTTCCCCTCCTTCCGTACTTCAATTTTCTTTCAATCTTCCGAACACCTACTGCGTTTCATTCTTCCGTACTCCGAATTTTTTTCTTCCATAGTTCTATTTTTTCCGTTCTTCCGTACTTCAATTTTCTTTCAATCTTCTGGGAGGCTAGTGCGTTTTTTTCTTCCGTATTTCTACTTTCTTTCTTCCGTAGTCCTATATCTTCCGTTCTTCCGTACTTCAATTTTCTTTCAATCTTCCGGATGCCTACCGCGTTTCTTTCATCCGTACTACTAGTTTCTTCCTTTCGTAGTCCTACTGCATTTCTTTCTTACGTACTCCAATTTTTCCGTTCTTCCGTAGTCCAATTTTTCCGTTCTTCCGTACTTCAATTTTCTTTCAATCTTCCGGACACTTACTGCGTTTCTCTCTTTTGTACTCCCTATTTGTTTCTATCGTAGTCCTTTTTTTCCGTTCTTCCGTACTTCAACTTTCTTTCAATCTTCTGGGAACGTTTCTCTCTTCCGTACCCCAATGTCTTTCTTCCATAGTCCTATTGTTTCGGCCATCCGTATTTCAATTTTCTTTCAATCTTCCAGACGCCTACTGCGTTTCTTTCTGTTTTCTTTCTTCTGTACTCCTAATTTCTTTTTTCCATAGTCCTAGATTTTCTGTTTTTCCGTACTTCAAGATTCTTTCAATCTTCTGGACACTACTGCATTTCTTTCTTGCCTACTCTAATTTCTTTCTTCCGTAGTCCTATTTTTTCCGTTCTTCCTTCCATCAATTTTATTTCAATCTTCCTGACGCCTACTGCGTTTCTTTCTTCCGTACTCTAATTTCTTTCTTACGTAGTCCTATTTTTCAGCTCTTCAGTGCTTCAATTTTCTTTCATTCTTCCGAACGATTACTGCGTTTCTTTCTTCCGTACCTTAATTTCTTACTTTCGTAGTCCTATTTTTTCCGTTCTTCTTTACATCAATTTTCTTTCAATCTTCCGGACATCTACTGTGTTACTTTCTTCCGTACTTTTAATATCTTTTTTTCCGTAGTCCTATTTTTTCCTTTCTTCCGTACTCCGATTTTCTTTCCGGACGCCTACTGCGTTTCTCTCTTCCGTACCCTAATGACTTTCTTCCATAGTGCTATTGTTTCGGCCATCAATTTTCTTTAAATCTTCCGGACGCCTACTGCTTTTCTTTCTTCCGTACTCCTAATTTATTTCTTCAATAGCATATTGTTTCCGTTCTTCCGTACTTCAATTTTCTCTGAATCTTTCGGACGCTTACTGTTTTTCTTTCTTCAGTACTCCTAATTTTCTTTCTTCCGTATTTCTATTTTTTCCGTTCTTCCGTACTTCAATTTTCTCTGAATCTTTCGGACGCTTACTGTTTTTCTTTCTTCCGTACTCCTAATTTTCTTTCTTCCGTAGTCCTATTTTTTCCGTTATTCCGTACTTCAACTTTCTCTCAATCTTTCGGACGCTTACTGTTTTTCTTTCTTCCGTACTCCTAATTTTCTTTCTTCCGTAGTCCTATTTTTCCTGTTCTTCCGTACCTCAGTTTTCTTTCACTCTTCCGGACACCTACTGTGTTACTTTCTTCCGTACTCCTAATTTCTTTTTTTTTTTTTTCCATAGTCCAATTTTTTCGGGTTCTTCCGTACTTCAATTTTCTTTCAATTTTGCGGACGCCTTCTTCCGTACTCATAATTTCTTTCTTCCTTAGTCCTATTTTTCCGTACTTCAGTTTTCTTTCAATCTTATCATTATTAATGCAAGTAAACAAAAGAAACTATACAGTTACGACTTGAAACGCTTTTATTAAAATTTTTCTTAACTCTCTCTCTCTCTCTCTCTCTCTCTCTATATATATATATATATATATATATATATATATATTTTTTTTTTTCTTCACCTGCTCGCATCCGACCATCGGGATCGTTTGCCTCTCTTCCTATTCTCTTTCTACCCGTGATGCCGAGGCAGAGATGTGAATCAAAGAGAATTTGACGAGTCCATTAGCGTAAATTTGATCTTGGTGGACAACTTTGCGCGACGTAGAAGCCCGCATACTTGACCAGCCGACTGAGGCAGGCGATATCTGGCAAACTTGTTTGCATCCGCCTGTCAGATGCTTGGTCTATCAAGGTCCGCCTTGGTTAACCAGCTCGACTTCCTCGTGTAGATCTTTGCCTATTGTGGTCTTCGGGGGGCTGATCACATTCAGTCTGATCCTACCTCATCAATCTTACCGTCATGTGTGGCCCTACAGGAGTTTAAACTTCAGACGGCTTTACTCTTGGGATCACTGGGCCACGCAATCCATCTACCATGACAAGGAACGCACATATGTATCTTAGACTGGATATCGGAGTGAACAGTGCGTTATCAAACGTATCACTTTGACTTATTATTGCTTTAATGACAATAATAGACACGAATCAATAACTAAGAAAAATGTAAAAGTATAAAATTATCATTGAAAATACGTGAACATTTTTTTTATTAGTGTTGATTTTTGCACTAGCCTTGGGAAAAGTACGGATCTTTTTCTTCTTCATTGCCTAAATATTGGCTATGTTTGCAGGGTAGATTCTACACTTGGATCTCAAACATGTTAAGCGCAGAAAAATTCTGAAATTCAAGCCATGAAGGGAGGTAGCTGGAAACTACTCCACCATCTTTATTAGGAAGCGATGACAATTTACAGAAAATATAGCCTTTACAAAAATAAAATTTACGGAAAATATACCATGATAGCCTACGTCCAGAAAAGAGGTAGCATTGAAACATAGAGTTGCCTCTGCTGAGGATCGAACTCACTGCGCTAGCTAATAGCATTTTGTTTTTTTTAAATTATGACTTTATAGAGCTAAACAAAGTATTAAAAAAATTGTTAGAAACGGAAAAAAAAAGTGTTGTACTGTTATGTGATATCGTTCCTCCTATATGGCAATGAACGCTGGACAGTTTCTCATAGATAAAACATAGACTCGTCGCAACAGATATGTGGTTTTAGAAAAAGAATTCTTCGAATACCAAGGACGAACACGTGAGTAACGAAGGACATTTAAAGGAAAATGGCAAAAAAACAAAAAACAAAACAAAAAAAACAAACAAAAAATAAAAAACAAAACAAAACAAAACCCAATTGTACTTAATATCACAAAGAGACAAGCGCCTAAGACACATAATGAAGAAGGTGGTCTTGGATACTTACAGGACAGATAGAAGACAGGAGAAGCAGGGGGAAACAGAAAGTAACCTGCCTCACCAGTAAACGAATGGCAGAACAGGGGCCGTGAAGGGTAGTAAAGGGGGAGAAAAAAAACATTCCTTAGAGTTAAAAAGGATAGGAAGTTGTGGAGAGGACACAACGCAAAAAAAGATGAAGAAAATACATCACTCTCCGACGATATTTTAAAAAGCCTAGTCTGATACAAAGACATTGTAATTGGGAAGCAAACGTGATTTCAACATCTGAAGAGGATGCTTTCCCGATCATTACAACCGTAACGTTAAATCTAGGTATAACCGTTATCTTTCCCACATATCCTCGTAAGCTGTGCCTCTTAATCTGTGACCCTCTACCTCTAGTGGCTCTTGGGCCTTATGCGGGGTGAACAGCATTGTAAAAAACATATTATATTAGCGAATTCAGGCATCTGTATAGGTATTTAACTTTTTTAAGGCAGTTCACCCCAAGCAAGGGGCGACAGAGGATTGAGAACAAGAGCAAAGAGGCGCGCTTGAGGAAAGGAAAGGACACAGAGGAGGACGAGGAACAAGATTAGGGTGTTAGTTGTCGATTGGCATTACACTTGAATATTTGAAGATTATATTCATCGGGGAAGCAAGTAAGGGGAAGGGAGTTTCACAGACGGGAAGTGCGGGCGAAGAAGCTGTTGGAGAAGCAGAGATGGTTACATTTAACCGTCTTGACAGTTAAAGGGTGAGACCAAAGATGCCAGCCTGGTAGCACGTTTAAATTCATGAAGTCAGGGAAGCAGCGACAGTAGCTCGTCGGAACAGTTGCCTTGAAAATATTTGTAGAAGAGATAGAGGGAGGCCATAGCACGTCTGTGGGATAGCGATTGTAGATTAGATGCCAGATCAGGGCCTATTATCTTGCATATTCGTCTCTAGATTTTGTCAGGGACCGCAATACGTACAGCGGGAGGACCAGACCATATATGACAGCAATATTCCATGCAAGGACGGATGGTTGATTTCTTAGGCTTCACAGTGAATTGGTTACCTGTTGCCTTCTCCACGGTGATTTATTTAGAAACCGCCTCTAATTAGCTGGCCGTTGACTTTTCAAGACTTCTTGTGCCCTGTGGTGAGTCTTATTTTTAATCTCACGAATTCTCTTTTTTTTTTTTTTATTAAGGCAATTCACCCCACGCAAGGCGGGAATGCCACTAGCACGCAAGAGATTACAGAGGATTGAGAGCAAGAGTAAAGAGGCGTGTCTGAGGAAAGGATACAGAAAAGGACGGGGAACAAGCTCAGGGTGTCAGATGTCGATTGACATTACACTTGAATATTAGAAGATTATAGTCATCAGGGAAGCAAGTAAGGGGAAGGGAGTTTCACAGACGGGAAGTGCGGGAGAAGAAGCTGTTGGAGTAGAAGAGACGGTTACATTTAACCTTTTCGACAGTGAAAGGGTGGGGCCGAGATGCTAACCTGGTAGCACATTTAAATTCATGAAGACTGGGAATCAGTGACAGTGGCTCGTCGGAACAGTTGCCGTGAAAATATTTGTAGAAGAGACAGAGGAAGGCCACAGCACGTCTGTGGGATAACGATTAGTGAGAAACAAATTACCAATAGTGAAACGAATGGCGGATTTGACTCACTAGGCTAAGAAAAAGGTCCGCTTTATAAGATTGATAACCATCGCTCTACGGTAGATGCCTTCTGTTTTTCTTTGTTTTTTTTTAAATTTATTTTTATTTTTATTTTTTATTCAATAATTATTCTTTTTTTTCTCTGTATTCTTTCCCGCTTTCTTTCTCTTCTTCAAATTGTGGGTATTGAAAAGTTGAAAGGATTGAGTTCTTTTAAGTTTTTAGTATCGACTTCCTTTACTCTAGCCCTTTTTTTATCGTTAATATCGTGCTATTTTCTCTTAAAAAAAGACCGATTTTCTTTCGTTACGTTTTTCTTATTCTTCATCTCGTCTTCGGTCTTTACTCATGGTGTACCTTCATATCTTTCTCTTCATATCAAAAGGCCATCTTTAATAACTGGCTTATATATCTTCGCGGTTCATCTACAATATCAAAGGTGCGAAAAGGAAAAGAAAGCTATGGGTTCCTGTGGCGTAGGGGGAGGTTGGTTATAGTATAGAATGTATGCGAGTCGGCCGTGGCTGGAAGTAAGAAGAGGGTAGAATGTCGAGAAAGAAAGAAGAAACACAAAGGTAAGAACGTAAAGGAAGGGAAAAAAAAGGCTGTTTAGAAGAAGAAGAGGAAAATGAACGTAAGTAAAAAATAAATAAATAAATAAAAAAAGACTCCCTACACCAGAAAAAATGTGAACAGAAGAAAAGTCTCGTGTAGTGATGGAAGAGGGGGGTATGAAAAAAAAAGGAAGAAATTATGAAAGGGTTTGAGGTCATGGAAAAAATAAGAACGTTACAAAAAAAAAAAAAAACGAAAAAAGAAACGCGAAAGGGAGGAATTGAAAGAGACAAATAAATGTAGAAAGGAGGGTGAGAAAGAATTAAAGAAAAAAGAGAATAAGAAAAATCAAGGAAGAAAGAAAGAAGGAAGCAAGGAAAAATGAGACAGGAAGGAAGGAAAGTAAGAAGAAAAGAAAGAATAATGGACGAAAGAAAATAAAGAAAGAAAGGAAATAGAAAACGATGGGAGGAAGCAATGAAAAGGGAAGATGTATGCAGGAAGGAACGAAGGAAGAGAGGAATAATGAATGATTTAAATAAATAGAATAAAGAAGAAAGGAAATAAAAAGTGACGTAAGGAAAGAAGGAAAATGAAGAAGGAATAATGAGTGCATTAATGACAGAATGTTGAATGAATGAAAGAAGGAATGAAAGAAGGAATGAAAGAAGGAAATAAGGAATAAAGGTATAAAAAAGAAAATGAAAAAAAGAAATTAAAGAAGGGGAAAAGGAAAGGATAAATGAAATAAGGAATCAAGGAAGGAAGGGAAACGAAAGAAAGAAGCAAATATAGACAATGAAGAAAACGTAGTAGAAAAATAAATAAGAAAAAATTGAAAATGGAACAGAAATAAAGATGAAAGAAAAAAAAAGGAAAAGATGAAAAACGAAAAAGTAAAAGACGTAGTTAAAGAAAGAATAAAAAAGAAGAGGAAGTTAAAGCGAAAAAAGAAGAAGAAGAAGAAGAAGAAGAAGAAGAAGTGGAAATAATCAGTCAGTATTCTCATCGGTTACTTATATTCACTGCCCCTGCCAGATCTCCCCTGCCCGAGGGGTCTCCTTCCATGGCCATCTCATACATATACATAGACAAGAGCCCAAAGAAAACATGACGAGAGGGGCAATAAGTGAAGCCAACATAACTGGCAATCGTTCTTGTGTATCTGAAGGATCTCGGGTGACAAGTAAAATCACACCTTGTTGCGTTTGTCGTTTACGCGCCTCAGTTTTGATGGACGTTTAGTCAGCAGCGTACACCTGTGTGCACGTTCCCCACCTCCCCATATATATATATATATATATATATATATATG